GAAGGGCTTTCCCCTGGAGAAGGCCATCAAGTATGCCGAGCTGCGGAATCCCTTCCTGCTCAACAAGCTGGATATGCAGTACGATATCCAGGATCGCCGGCGGGTCTATGCCATTCTGGAGAAGGAGGGCATCGAGATTCCACGCTATGCCGTACTCGATCGCGACTCCACGGATCCGAAACGTGAGTAAATGTCTAAGAAAATTGGGAATATATTACTTTATATTCTCACAAAGACCATGGCCTGATCGAGTCCGATGACCATGTGGAGGTCAATGGGATCACCTTCAACAAGCCCTTTGTGGAGAAGCCCGTCTCGGCGGAGGATCACAACATCTTTATTTACTACCCGTCATCGGCGGGCGGCGGTAGTCAGCGGCTGTTCCGCAAGATTGGCAGCCGGAGCAGCGTGTATTCGCCGGAGTCAAAGGTCCGCAAAACGGGCTCCTTTATTTATGAGGACTTTATGGCCACCGATGGTATGTGCTTTTCACTTGCTCTCATCAGGTGATTCCTTGCTGACACTATACCATTTAGGTACGGACGTCAAGGTGTACACCGTGGGTCCGGACTATGCCCACGCGGAAGGGCGCAAGAGTCCTGCGCTCGATGGCAAGGTGGAGCGGGATAGCGAGGGCAAGGAGATCCGCTATCCGGTCATCCTGAATCACGCCGAGAAGCTCATCGCGCGCAAGGTTTGTCTGGCCTTCAAGCAGACGGTCTGCGGCTTCGACCTCCTACGAGCCAACGGCAAGAGTTACGTCTGCGATGTCAATGGATTTAGCTTCGTGAAGAATTCGAACAAATACTACGACGACTGTGCCAAGATCCTTGGTCATATTATCCTGCGCAAGCTAACAGCCAGACTTCAGATCCCCTGGTCCGTGCCCTTTCGCCTGGACGATCCCCCCATTATGCCCACCATCTACGGCAAGATGATGGAGCTGCGCTGCGTGGTGGGCGTCATTCGGCATGGCGATCGCACGCCCAAGCAGAAAATGAAGGTGGAGGTGCGGCATTCCAAGTGAGTTGTATTTTTGTTTTTTCTAAGAATCTAATTTAATATTGTTTGAAGATTCTTTGAGGTCTTTGAGAAATACAATGACTGCAAGTTGGACCATGTCAAGCTCAAGAAGCCGAAGCAGCTGCAAGAGATCCTGGACATTGCCCGCTTCCTGCTCAGCGAGATTCACTCGAACTCCCGCGCTGAGATCTGGGAGAAGGAGAGTGAACTGGAGCAGATGAAGACTGTGCTGGAGATGCACGGCCACTTCTCGGGCATCAATCGCAAGGTGCAGATGAAGTACCAGTCAAAAGGTTCTAGTCAATGCCAAGCCAATCTGGAAACCGATCAGCCGGCAGACCCATCGCTTGTCCTCATCCTGAAGTGGGGCGGCGAACTAACGCCAGCGGGTCGCGTCCAGGCGGAGGAGCTGGGCCAGATCTTCAGGTGCATGTATCCCCGCGGACAGGGTAGAACCGACCACACGGGCACCCAGGGATTGGGTCTCTTGCGATTGCACTCCACCTTCCGGCACGACCTAAAGATCTACGCCTCGGACGAGGGTCGTGTCCAAATGACCGCTGCCGCCTTTGCCAAGGGCCTGCTGGCCTTGGAGGGTGAACTAACGCCCATTTTAGTGCAGATGGTGAAGAGTGCCAACACAGATGGACTGCTGGACAACGACGGTGATTCCAACCACTACCAGGATCTGTGAGTGGTCTTTCAAAGCTTATAAACTTATATTAGCTCTCAGATTATCCCGTATCCCAGGGCCAAGGATCGCCTGTACGAGCTAATGCAGAACGACCCAGCTGGATCGAGAGCAGATTAATCCCTGCAACAACAAATCGATCTCGCAGGCTCTAGACTTTGTCAAGAATCCGGTGGATTGCTGCCACCACGTCCTTCTGCTCATCCGCGAGCTGCTCCACGTAATCAGTACCAAGAAAGATGACCCAAAGACCAAGAATGCTATTCTGTACCATGATGAAACGTGGGACCTGATGCGCTGTCGCTGGGAGAAGATCGAGAGGGACTTTGGTGGCAAATCGAATCGGTTCGACATCTCCAAGATACCCGATATCTATGACTGCATCAAGTACGATGTGCAGCACAACCAGCCTACTCTGCAGTACGACAGGGCGGAGGAGCTGTACATCTACACCAAGAACCTGGCGGACATAGTAGTGCCGCAGGAATACGGACTGACGAAGCAGGAGAAGCTGGCCATCGGGCATGGGATCTGCTCGCCGCTGCTACGCAAGATCAAGACCGATCTGCAGCGCAACATTGACGAGGTGGAGGACGAGTTTATGAATCGCTTGAATCCGCACTATAGCCACGGTGTCGCCAGCCCCCAGCGGCATGTGCGGACGCGTCTGTACTTCACCAGCGAGTCGCATATCCACTCGCTGCTCACGATCCTCCGCTACGGCGAGTTGCTCAATGTTGTCACCGACCAGCAATGGCGCCGCGCCATGGAGTACATTTCGACGGTGGCCGAGCTGAACTACATGTCCCAGATCGTCATTATGCTGTACGAGGACCCCACAAAGGATCCCACATCCGAGGAGCGCTTCCACATAGAGCTCCACTTCAGTCCCGGCGTTAATTGCTGCGTCCAGACGAATCTGCCATCAGATCCCGGCCTCCAGCCCCATTCACACGGCGACTGTAGCTGTTGTGTGAGTCTCGGGTCATTGGAGAAATCGAATCCCACCCCAATTGAGGAGGAGGAGGCGCCGAAGCCCAAAGAACCTACGGTGAGCAGGTGTGATTATGGAAATCTTGTGATCTTGAATCTCATGGATAATGATTATCTCAAAGACTAAACGGGGAGCCTTCGGCTTCAATCGTATATCGCTGTGGCTCAAGCCACTTGTACCAAAGCCCGCCCCCACGAGGACCCATCTGAAGGTCAGCGGTCCTAAAGCCATGAATTTGGCCAAGTGGCTTAACAAGGAGCTGGCATCGCCGCCGCAGCCCCATCAGCAGTTTCGACCGGCCAGTCCGAACTTTCAGTCTGTTAGAATTGTCTGTGAGCCGCGATCCCGAAGCCTCGAGAAGCGAGCCCTGCACGACGCCTGTGCCAGGCTGCCAGGTACGTTTGCATGTATTATTTTTGCTTAAATTAAATATTAAAATACTTAATTATTTGTACTTAATTATTTACTGAACATAGTGCCACCCATTCAACCGCTGAAGACACTACACAATGCTCTGTCGCTCCGCATGCTGGATTGCTTCCTGCAGGACATGATTGGAGCGCAGTTTTGTAGGTCACCGATCATTGGCTTTGAGCCCACTACCAACACCAATATACCTGTAATGCCTCGAATGGCCAAGACGAATGCCACGACCCAAGGACAACGGAGTCTTCTGTCGCCAAGTGAATGTGGATCCTCGGTTCAGTTACACTCGAAGGCGTGCCACAAAGAAGAGTGTGTGGATAAATGCATTTATTCATGATCGTTTCCCTATATTATTCTGTATTCCTCTGAACATAAATATATATATATATTATATCATTTTTAATTCACTTTCGCTTTCTGAATTAAGTTCCCCTTCTTGTGATAAAAGTGTTGCATGGGCAGGCACCTGCTTGAGCTAAGGATTTTCTTTCCTTAAAAAGCAGCCACTCCCGTTCGGAAAATCGCCAGGATGACAGTACTGACTCCATGAGCGAAACGATCCCCAGTTGACCAGGCACACGCTCGCAGTATAAACAACTCAATTTGAATGCATTTAACCGCGTAATTGAGCCACGCGCCGGACAGCTATGCGTGCGCTATTTGCGGCCAACCCACGCTGCTCCCACTTACGCCCAACTACCCCACACCACCCCCATTCATGACACCACCCCTTCACTCCGCCTCCACGCACACCCCCTGCTAAGCGCGGCAAATTGCAAACCAATTGGCATGCAACTGGTTTTGGTCGCCGACGTAATGGGAAAGGCAAGGAGCCTTGAGCCAGGAGCAGGGAGCAGGGGTGCCCGGCCCAGTCAATGCCCAGAAATTAGTGCGTAAATGTTTTCTCACCAAATAAAAACGACGAAAAGGGCCGAGAGAGAGGCCGGCTTTGCGCCTCGTTTCGCCACGCTTGCCGGGAAATTAACTGCGAATTATTTGGCCAGACGAGACGGACACACGTTCAATTTCGTTGGATTTTCCATGCCCTTCACTGTGTGCAGCCTCACCGCAGCCGCCTGACAGGTGAGCCTGATCGGGACGATGATGAATTGGCGCCGCGTGCGATGTCTAAATGCCAGCCAATTGGCCACTCAAAAAGCGGGCGGAATTGTGGGAATCGCTTTATACGATGTTTTTGATAAAAAAAAATTTGATTTTCTGCATTTAAGGGATGAAAATTAAATATATAACGATATATAAGTAAATTTTGTAAAAGAATATCGAAAAATTAAAGTTTCTTTCCTACAAAACTAAATTTTATATTTAGTTCCAACGATGAACCATGAATGAATGGTAATGGTGTGTTTCTTATTTTAAGGGGGAGTTTGGAATTATAAATGTCCAATATCTTAAGAATATTTGGTCAAAGTTTCACATCGACCACAGCAAAATTGAGTTGTGTATGAGTACAAATCGTTTTGAAATTTTTTTTTTTTAATTTTTTTTAATTTTATTATATTTTTTATTCAGCAAAGTAAAGTAAATTTCTTTTTCAAAATTCGGGATCTTGACTTCCAATTTTGATAAGAAATCGGGGAAATAAAATTCAAAATAAAAACGCCACTTGACTCTGGACACTTAACCTTTAACAAATGCATTATATAATTTTTCAAATCGGAGGATTCTGTGGTCAATTAGGACGTAGTCACTCGGGAGATTCCCTATAACTCCTATACCCCATTACGTAGGACCTTCATCAACAATATTACAATTTATGTGGATCTAAGAGAATAAAATATACTTTGTAGGTTTGATTTTAAATTTTAATTTATTGAATTTTGTAATACCAGTAGGTCTAGGGCCAGTTGTGAGCTGCGCATGTCAAAGTTCATCTTTCATGAAATCAATAATAATCAACTACATCAACGATGGCCGTACGCGACTACTTCCGGAATTTTTATCTGATGAGCTGGAAGAACTACAAGCTGCAGGTGGGCAATCCGCTCCAGCTGATGTTCATCCTTCTGTGCCCACCTGCGATCGTTTGTATCGCGGTACTGCTAAGGTTTCTTATCCCGACAATAATTCGCACGGACACGATCTACGATCCCATTGATCTGCATAGATGTTGGCTCGAGATGTTGGAAAAGTTGGAGAGGGCGCGTAAGGTGGCCGATAGCCACAAGATTACGCGGAATCCGTTCACGCCTGATCTGGTCATTGGCTGGGCCCCGAATGATTACAATGTCTTCCAGATGGTAATGGAAAAGGCACAGGTGAACTTCGAGCCAATGAAATTGGTCAGTTTCCAGAATTGTGCTCAGTTGCGCCAGAGGATGTTAAAGGACTCCATGTTCGCGGGCATCTGCATGGATGGTAATAATTTTGAGAAGTATTACGATTTAAGAGACGAGAACCCGGGGAACAATATGTTCATACCTCCACAATTTGATTACTCTATCATCATGCCCAGCGAGCTGAGGCAGATTGATGGCGACTTTCGTCGGGCCAACTGGTACACCCTGTACCCAAGAGATCCGCAGGCCATTACCCTTGACCGCCTCCAGCAGTCGTACGAGGGCGGATTTGTGGGTTATGTTCGCGAGGGATTTATCCTTATGCAGAAGCACATCTCCGAGTCTTTCCTGAAAACCATCGTCCATCCGATTATCCCAGATATAGTGCTACGCCGGTTTCCGATCTTGGGTTCGAGAGAGGATCCACTAATGGACGAGATGGAAGACTGTCTGTCACTACTCATCCTGGTCGGCTTTCTGTTTCCCTCCCTGATCTTCGTTTGGGTGAGTAAGAGCAAAGGCATTAGAACTATTAAGATGAGTAACATCCATACATTCGTTTTGCAATATGAGTAGTAAGTGGTCTTTTTGATATTTCTAAAACGAATCTCTTGTATACCCGTTTCTGATATTTTTATTAGGAAATAGTGAAAGAGAAGCAGACGAACATGCGCTTCTTCTTGGTCAATATGAGCATTGGCAATTTGGTTCAATTTTTATCTTGGTACACCACGGTCCTGGTATGCTTCATAATAAGCAGCTTATTCATTATAGTCCTTTTGAAGGTAAGGCACATTAACACTTAAAGGCTTCAATATCTGTCTATATACATATATAATATTTTTACTGTGTAGGTGCCCTGGAACCTACAGGACCCAGTGCTGAAGCAAACGCCCTGGTACATCATCTTATTGGCGCTAGTCTCATATAGCACCGTAGCGGTTTCCTACGTGGTCATGTTGGCATCGTTCTTCACCGACCCTCACACTGCCGTTCGAGTGGCCACAATCGTATGGATTGCCTTCAATATGCCTAATTTTGTGCTATGGAACAGCATGACGGAGACGGCTTGGGCATTCCGATACGTAACCTACTTGATCCCCAATGTAGTGTTATTCGCGGTTTTCCAGTGCATAATCGATCGCGAGCCGATCATTCATGCTAGCTTTGAGTCTAATACGCACAATTACAATCATCGCAAATGTGACCTACCAGTGTACACTGGCATTTGGATATTTACGGTTACCTCTTTGATTTACTGCGGCATCGGCCTTTACATGGACATATGGCGCATGGGCGAGCGCTCGGCGAAGAGAATAAACAAGGAGGAGGCCAGGGCAAATAATATCCCCGAAGACCAGTATCAGGATTATACAGAAAATGCCAACAATCAGGTGCGGGGCATTGACGTTAATTCCACAAAAATCTACGAGGTTGAGCCGTCGAATCGGCTCTTCAAGCTGAAGATCAAGAAGCTGTGCAAACGCTTCGGGCCCAAGTATCGACCGGCCTTGAATTTCTTCACATGGAATGTTTATGAGAACGAGGTCACCGTTCTGATGGGCCACAATGGCTGTGGGAAAAGCACCCTTCTTAAAATACTGGCCGGTCTGATAGAGCCCAGCCGCGGCAGTGTCACGGTCGCCAACTACGATATGCTGACAGAGAGGAAGGCGGCTTGCATGGAGCTGGGCCTCGCTCTCGATACCAAAATGCTGATCACTGGACTGACCGTCCTCGATCACTTGCGTTTCATTTGCCGGGTGAAGGGCATGAACAGTAAGCCGGATATAGACGGACATGTGAGCTACTTCATGAATGCCCTGCAAATCGATCATCTGAAGAACCAGCGACTAAAGAATCTTATGCCCAGGCACTTGGTTCTGGTCAGCATTTGCTGTGCCTTTGTGGGCAACAGCAGCATTATCCTAATAGACGACATATATTCGGATCTGGACAACCCCACGAAGGAGCTGATCTGGGCCCTGATCAACGAAGAGAAGTCCTACCGCACTATTATCGTTGTGGTCAATACGACGACGCTCGCCGAGAATATTGCCGATCGAATGGCAATTATGTCGAACGGAGAACTGAAGTGTACCGGCACTAAACCTTTTCTGAAAAATATGTACGGACATGGCTTTCGATTGGTGAGACCGGTTTCTTGGTGTTATTATCTTTGCCTTAACCCATGTATCTATAGATTTGTATGAAGGGCAAGAACTGTAACATTGAGGAGCTGATTGCCCTGATGAACAGGCATTTGCCTAACTTGACCATCGAGTCGAACTTTGGCTTTAAGGTCAACTTCATTTTGGAGAACAAGGATGAGGATCAATTTCCGGGACTGATCGACGACCTGGAGCAGAACATGGAGCGCCTGGATTTGGTCAGTTTTCGTATCCGGGACACCTCCACGGAGGAGATCTTTTTACGCTTCGGATGCGATGAAGAGGACCAGATGGGCGGAACCCTAGGCTGGCAGGATAATCCGAATGTGCTCATTGATAAATATTTTGCGACCTCGGCCGAAGCCAATCCTAATAAGCGGGAAAGTAGATGCGGGCTATGGTGTCTGCACCTCAGGTATGTAATCGATATCGGGGCTCATGCAAAATATAAAGCTGTATTGAGGTTTCGAATGTGGCGAACAGATAAACAAAAAACGATATTAAAGCGATTTGATGCGATGTCCGATATATTAATCGTTAATTTAACGTTAAAATAGGCTAACGACTTATCAACTGTTTGATATATCGGAATATGCCAAAGGTCAGATATATCAGTATATGCCAAAGGTCAATCCATTAGTTTTTAATGAGCTTTACATAATATTAGTAAAAAAGTTAATTAAATAACAATAATTGGATTATTTTTCGATTGTAGTTCTTTCTTATCGATAAATTAACCGGTAGATTTGATATTGAGTTCAATAAGAGCTTATCGATATTCATAAATTTGGTTTTTCTTTTTTTTTAAATCCATTTAGAGCCGTATTTTACAAACGACTAATTATTGACTTAAAACATTGGATTATCATACTCGTGGAGATTCTTACCTTTTTAATGGCTGCGCTTTGTGCCTTCTCTGGCGCTCTCATCTATGGCAAGCACTTTGATCTGGTTCCGTTGACCTACAATCTCACCCAGCTGTATCACATCAAAGCCTTCACTGAAATCGTCAACGATGATAATATCATGAAGGAAGTCCTCGCAAACTACAAGGACTCCCTGGACTGGTATGACTCCCGGGTGACAAATCTGGGCAGAAGTCATGATGGTGCATACGCCCTGACGCACAGTTCCGAATTCTCCCGCACCGTCAACATGGCCTTCGACTTCGGGGCAACGTTCGACGACTCCCTGATAACCGCCTGGTTCAATGTCATTCCCTTGCACATGGCTCCCATTAGCCTCAACCTTGTCCACAATGCGCTAGCCAGGTGAGTTTCTCATCCCCCTGAATTGAGATACTATATGGAGAGATCATAGGTAAAGCTCTGTGAATACCGATTGCGGACAGGCGGATTCATATTATTCAGGTCTTTGCTAGGCTCTGGCAATGTCTGCCATTAGTATCCGTTTCATGACCGACCCCAAAGTCCAGCATAGTTGCCACAATTATCGATTTAATTTGCTCACACCCCCAGACACTACCTGGACTCAGAGGCTAGAATTGATGTGACCCTGGAGACGCTTCCATTCCAGTCGAATATCAACGTATTTCCGCCTGGAACCCAATCCTTTGCCATCATAATGGCCTCCACAATATGTTTTGCGTTCTGCTTCATAACTCCAGCGTATGCCCTAACCGGCATCCGAGAGCAATCCGCTTACCAGAAACAACAGTTCCTAGCCGGAGCCCGGCGGTTCAGGTTTTGGGCATTTACAATCGGCTACGATATATTTATGCACCTTATGTACATTTTAGTTCTGATGTTCATGGTGGCCTGTTACGCTCATCCAGAACACGACATGGTCTTTTACAGTGAGTCCCTTTTAGCTGTTCGTGCTATTGCCATTCAATTCCTGCTCCCGTAGTGTTGCTGCTGCTGGGTATTATGATGGCTGCATTATTGAAGATTCTGCTTACGCACTTGATAGCGAGCCATTGTCGAAGTCCCATCTATGGATTTATATTTGTGTCCCTTCTCAGCTGCGTGGGATTTCTCATGTTCGTAGGGAACATTAGAAATTGCAACCACGAGCTACCGAATTCTCTGTGGATACTCCACCAGTACGTGAGCGTGGTACTCATTCTGAAGATCTTTAGAGACTACGAAAGCAAGTTATATTGCTCTGATCCAGTGGTGAGGTTCACCTCTACAAAGATCTATAACGGCAATACAGTTCCCGATTGCAACAGTTGAGTTTTGAACCCATAAACAGCACTCTGGAAGAGGTATTGCCATCGGAAAGTATTTCTTCCCGGGTGCGTTTTCTCGAGTAAAACATAAGCAATCCCTAATAATCATCCTTCATCTACGAAAGAGTATACTAACGATGCACACGGCGTAGTCGGTATCTTCCTTATTTTGACGGCGTGGATCGTTCTAATCGGCTTTCTGCTATTCATCTCGGAGTTTCACAAGACAGAGGGCTTTTCCAAGTACCTGTCATCTAAGGACAAAATTCAGCCCACTTACGATCGGGGACCTACTTCTGGCAGCAGTCAGGCTCATGCTAAAATATCTGATGATCCATCCGCTCTCATCGAACGCCAGAAGGGCTCTAATTTGTCACCAGAGGAACGCAGCCAGCAAGCTCTTGTGGCCGTGGGCCTGGTCAGCCAGTATGGCAAGGTGAAGGTGCTCAAGGGTTTTAACCTTACGTTGGCCAAGTGAGTTCAAGTGAAGACCTGTCAAATTAATAAATATTACACTCTCTCTCTCTCATTTCAGAGGCGAATGCCTCAACATTGCCGGATTAAACGGTTCGGGCAGGACAACGCTGCTGAAGCTCATGGTGCGCGAGGCGAAGCTGAAGAGCGGCCAGATATGGATCCAAGGCCACTCGATACGCCGCGAACGGAGCAAGACCTACCGCATGGTGGGATACTGTCCACAGTGCGAAAATCTGCCCCCCGAGTTAACGCCGCGGCAGCTGCTTTACATCCAGGCCCTTTTCCACGGCCATGCAAAGGCTGCCGCCGATGAGGTCACAGAAGCACTGATCCGGATGCTGGGATTATACCAGTGCAGCAACCGATCGACGCGCCTTTGCACCGCCGGCGAGGAGCGTCGCCTGTACTATGCCTTCGCCATTCTCACTAGCCCGCAGCTCGTCTGCGTGGACGGTGTTCCCGCGGGTCTGGACCCCATTGGGAAGCGTGTCATCCTCACGGTGACCACTATCATGCAGTCGATGGGCTGCGCCTTCCTCTACACCAGCCTGCCTGTCCTGGACGCGGAGCGACTGTGTGTGCGTCCGACGGTCCTGTTCGATGGCGAACTGTGGACGATCCGTTCCATCGAGAATGAAAACAAAACCTACAAGACCGGCTACCGCCTGGAGGTGCGGTTTAAGCGCAAGGTCAATCCCAATCTCAGCATGTCGCGGTCCACCTGGAACCGGATTAACCACTTCCCCCTGTCGCCCCATAGGAAGTTTAGCGCCTTCATGGAGATCAAGTTCCCGACCGCCGTGCTCAGGTGAGGTCCTATTTTCTCATGAATTTATTAAATTTATTTTCCTTTTCCCTTAGGAGTGAGGATGATACCACAATGGTGTTTTATTTTGATGTGGCGTCGACCACATTCTCCACGATCCTATTGACAATTCGGAGAGATGCATTTGAAATGAACATTGAGGATTACTACATCACCCGCAATATGACCATAACACACTTTGCAAATAGATAAATCAAAACCTATAAACAGGACACATTAAGAGTCTGTGACAAAATTGAGTTGTGTATGAGTACAAATCGTTTTGAAATTTGGCACATGTTCAACTAATTTAAAAGGTACTCACTTCGGGTTTTTTAAATGTTTAATTTTATTATATTTTTTATTCAGCAAAGTAAAGTAAATTTCTTTTTCAAAATTCGGGATCTTGACTTCCAATTTTGATAAGAAATCGGGGAAATAAAATTCAAAATAAAAACGCCACTTGACTCTGGACACTTAACCTTTAACAAATGCATTATATAATTTTTCAAATCGGAGGATTCTGTGGTCAATTAGGACGTAGTCACTCGGGAGATTCCCTATAACTCCTATACCCCATTACGTAGGACCTTCATCAACAATATTACAATTTATGTGGATCTAAGAGAATAAAATATACTTTGTAGGTTTGATTTTAAATTTTAATTTATTGAATTTTGTAATACCAGTAGGTCTAGGGCCAGTTGTGAGCTGCGCATGTCAAAGGCCAGTTCATCTTTTATGAAATCAATAATAATCAACTACATCAACGATGGCCGTACGCGACTACTTCCGGAAGTTTTATCTGATGAGCTGGAAGAACTACAAGCTGCAGGTGGGCAATCCGCTCCAGCTGATGTTCATCCTTCTGTGCCCACCTGCGATCGTTTGTATCGCGGTACTGCTAAGGTTTCTTATCCCGACAAGAATTCGCACGGACACGATCTACGATCCCATTGATCTGCATAGATGTTGGCTCGAGATGTTGGAAAAGTTGGAGAGGGCGCGTAAGGTGGCCGATAGCCACAAGATTACGCGGAATCCGTTCACGCCTGATCTGGTCATTGGCTGGGCCCCGAATGATTACAATGTCTTCCAGATGGTAATGGAAAAGGCACAGGTGAACTTCGAGCCAATGAAATTGGTCAGTTTCCAGAATTGTGCTCAGTTGCGCCAGAGGATGTTAAAGGACTCCATGTTCGCGGGCATCTGCATGGATGGTAATAATTTTGAGAAGTATTACGATTTAAGAGACGAGAACCCGGGGAACAATATGTTCATACCTCCACAATTTGATTACTCTATCATCATGCCCAGCGAGCTGAGGCAGATTGATGGCGACTTTCATCGGGCCAACTGGTACACCCTGTACCCAAGAGATCCGCAGGCCATTACCCTTGACCGCCTCAAGCAGTCGTACGAGGGCGGATTTGTGGGTTATGTTCGCGAGGGATTTATCCTTATGCAGAAGCACATCTCCGAGTCTTTCCTGAAAACCATCGTCCATCCGATTATCCCAGATATAGTGCTACGCCGGTTTCCGATCTTGGGTTCGAGAGAGGATCCACTAATGGACGAGATGGAAGACTGTCTGTCACTACTCATCCTGGTCGGCTTTCTGTTTCCCTCCCTGATCTTCGTTTGGGTGAGTAAGAGCAAAGGCATTAGAACTATTAAGATGAGTAACATCCATACATTCGTTTTGCAATATGAGTAGTAAGTGGTCTTTTTGATATTTCTAAAACGAATCTCTTGTATACCCGTTTCTGATATTTTTATTAGGAAATAGTGAAAGAGAAGCAGACGAACATGCGCTTCTTCTTGGTCAATATGAGCATTGGCAATTTGGTTCAATTTTTATCTTGGTACACCACGGTCCTGGTATGCTTCATAATAAGCAGCTTATTCATTATAGTCCTTTTGAAGGTAAGGCACATTAACACTTAAAGGCTTCAATATCTGTCTATATACATATATAATATTTTTACTGTGTAGGTGCCCTGGAACCTACAGGACCCAGTGCTGAAGCAAACGCCCTGGTACATCATCTTATTGGCGCTAGTCTCATATAGCACCGTAGCGGTTTCCTACGTGGTCATGTTGGCATCGTTCTTCACCGACCCTCACACTGCCGTTCGAGTGGCCACAATCGTATGGATTGCCTTCAATATGCCTAATTTTGTGCTATGGAACAGCATGACGGAGACGGCTTGGGCATTCCGATACGTAACCTACTTGATCCCCAATGTAGTGTTATTCGCGGTTTTCCAGTGCATAATCGATCGCGAGCCGATCATTCATGCTAGCTTTGAGTCTAATACGTACAATTACAATCATCGCAAATGTGACCTACCAGTGTACACTGGCATTTGGATATTTACGGTTACCTCTTTGATTTACTGCGGCATCGGCCTTTACATGGACATATGGCGCATGGGCGAGCGCTCGGCGAAGAGAATAAACAAGGAGGAGGCCAGGGCAAATAATGTCCCTGAAGACCAGTATCAGGATTATACAGAAAATGCCAACAATCAGGTGCGGGGCATTGACGTTAATTCCACAAAAATCTACGAGGTTGAGCCGTCGAATCGGCTCTTCAAGCTGAAGATCAAGAAGCTGTGCAAACGCTTCGGGCCCAAGTATCGACCGGCCTTGAATTTCTTCACATGGAATGTTTATGAGAACGAGGTCACCGTTCTGATGGGCCACAATGGCTGTGGGAAAAGCACCCTTCTTAAAATACTGGCCGGTCTGATAGAGCCCAGCCGCGGCAGTGTCACGGTCGCCAACTACGATATGCTGACAGAGAGGAAGGCGGCTTGCATGGAGCTGGGCCTCGCTCTCGATACCAAAATGCTGATCACTGGACTGACCGTCCTCGATCACTTGCGTTTCATTTGCCGGGTGAAGGGCATGAACAGTAAGCCGGATATAGACGGACATGTGAGCTACTTCATGAATGCCCTGCAAATCGATCATCTGAAGAACCAGCGACTAAAGAATCTTATGCCCAGGCACTTGGTTCTGGTCAGCATTTGCTGTGCCTTTGTGGGCAACAGCAGCATTATCCTAATAGACGACATATATTCGGATCTGGACAACCCCACGAAGGAGCTGATCTGGGCCCTGATCAACGAAGAGAAGTCCTACCGCACTATTATCGTTGTGGTCAATACGACGACGCTCGCCGAGAATATTGCCGATCGAATGGCAATTATGTCGAACGGAGAACTGAAGTGTACCGGCACTAAACCTTTTCTGAAAAATATGTACGGACATGGCTTTCGATTGGTGAGACCGGTTTCTTGGTGTTATTATCTTTGCCTTAACCCATGTATCTATAGATTTGTATGAAGGGCAAGAACTGTAACATTGAGGAGCTGATTGCCCTGATGAACAGGCATTTGCCTAACTTGACCATCGAGTCGAACTTTGGCTTTAAGGTCAACTTCATTTTGGAGAACAAGGATGAGGATCAATTTCCGGGACTGATCGACGACCTGGAGCAGAACATGGAGCGCCTGGATTTGGTCAGTTTTCGTATCCGGGACACCTCCACGGAGGAGATCTTTTTACGCTTCGGATGCGATGAAGAGGACCAGATGGGCGGAACCCTAGGCTGGCAGGATAATCCGAATGTGCTCATTGATAAATATTTTGCGACCTCGGCCGAAGCCAATCCTAATAAGCGGGAAAGTAGATGCGGGCTATGGTGTCTGCACCTCAGGTATGTAATCGATATCGGGGCTCATGCAAAATATAAAGCTATATTGAGGCTTCGAATGTGGCGAACAGATAAACAAAAAACGATATTAAAGCGATTTGATGCGATGTCCGATATATTAATCGTTAATTTAACGTTAAAATAGGCTAACGACTTATCAACTGTTTGATATATCGGAATATGCCAAAGGTCAGATATATCAGTATATGCCAAAGGTCAATCCATTAGTTTTTAATGAGCTTTACATAATATCAGTAAAAAAGTAATATCAATAAAAACAATAATTGGATTATTTTTCGATTGTAATTCTTTCTTATCGATAAATTGAGTTCCATAAGAGCTTATCGATATTCATAAATTTGGTTTTTCTTTTTTTTTTAAATCCATTTAGAGCCGTATTTTACAAACGACTAATTATTGACTTTAAACATTGGATTATCATACTCGTGGAGATTCTTACCTTTTTAATGGCTGCGCTTTGTGCCTTCTCTGGCGCTTTCATCTATGGCAAGCACTTTGATCTGGTTCCGTTGACCTACAATCTCACCCAGCTGTATGACATCAAAGCCTTCACTGAGGTCGTCAACGATAATAATATCATGAGGGAAGTCCTCGCAAACTACAAGGACTCCCTGTACTGGTATGACTCCCGGGTGACAAATCTGGGCAGAAGTCATGATGGTGCATACGCCCTGACGCACAGTTCCGAATTCTCCCGCACCGTCAACATGGCCTTCGACTTCGGGGCAACGTTCGACGACTCCCTGATAACCGCCTGGTTCAACATCATTCCCTTGCACATGGCTCCCATTAGCCTCAACCTTGTCCACAATGCGCTAGCCAGGTGAGTTTCTCATCCCCCTGAATTGAGATACTATATGGAGAGATCATAGGTAAAGCTCTGTGAATACCGATTGCGGACAGGCGGATTCATATTATTCAGGTCTTTGCTAGGCTCTGGCAATGTCTGCCATTAGTATCCGTTTCATGACCGACCCCAAGGTCCAGCATAGTTGCCACAATTATCGATTTCATTTGCTCACACCCCCAGACACTACCTGGACTCAGAGGCTAGAATTGATGTGACCCTGGAGACGCTTCCATTCCAGTCGAATATCAACGTATTTCCGCCTGGAACCCAAGCCTTTGGCATTATAATGGCCTCCACAATATGTTTTGCGTTCTGCTTCATAACTCCAGCGTATGCCCTAACCGGCATACGAGAGCAATCCGCTTACCAGAAACAACAGTTCCTAGCCGGAGCCCGGCGGTTCAGCTTTTGGGCATTTACGATCGGCTACGATATATTTATGCACCTTATGTACATTTTAGTTCTGATGTTCATGGTGGCCTGTTACGCTCATCCAGAACACGACATGGTCTTTTACAGTGAGTCCCTTTTAGCTGTTCGTGCTATTGCCATTCAATTCCTGCTCCCGTAGTGTTGCTGCTGCTGGGTATTATGATGGCTGCATTATTGAAGATTATGCTCACGCACTTGATAGCGAGCCGTTGTCGAAGTCCCATCTATGGATTTATATTTGTGTCCCTTCTCAGCTGCGTGGGATTTCTCATGTTCGTAGGGAGCATTAGAAATTGCAACGAAGACCTACCCAAATATCTGTGGATGTTCCACCAGTACGTGAGCGTGGCACTCATTCTGAAGATCTTTAGAGACTACGAAAGCAAGTTATATTGCTCTGATCCAGTGGTGAGGTTCACCTCCATAAAGATCTATAACGGCAATTCAGATCCCGATTGCAACAGTTGAGTTTTGAGTTTTGAACCCATAAACAGCACTCTGGAAGAGGTATTGCCATCCGAAAGTATTTCTTCCCGGGTGCGTTTTCTCGAGTAAAACATAAGCAATCCCTAATAATCATCCTTCATCTACGAAAGAGTATACTAACGATGCACACGGCGTAGTCGGTATCTTCCTTATTTTGACGGCGTGGATCGTTCTAATCGGCTTTCTGCTATTCATCTCGGAGTTTCACAAGACAGAGGGCTTTTCCAAGTACCTGTCATCTAAGGACAAAATTCAGCCCACTTACGATCGGGGACCTACTTCTGGCAGCAGTCAGGCTCATGCTAAAATATCTGATGATCCATCCGCTCTCATCGAACGCCAGAAGGGCTCTAATTTGTCACCAGAGGAACGCAGCCAGCAAGCTCTTGTGGCCGTGGGCCTGGTCAGCCAGTATGGCAAGGTGAAGGTGCTCAAGGGTTTTAACCTTACGTTGGCCAAGTGAGTTCAAGTGAAGACCTGTCAAATTAATAAATATTACACTCTCTCTCTCTCATTTCAGAGGCGAATGCCTCAACATTGCCGGATTAAACGGTTCGGGCAGGACAACGCTGCTAAAACTCATGGTGCGCGAGGCGAAGCTGAAGAGCGGCCAGATATGGATCCAAGGCCACTCGATACGCCGCGAACGGAGCAAGACCTACCGCATGGTGGGATACTGTCCACAGTGCGAAAATCTGCCCCCCGAGTTAACGCCGCGGCAGCTGCTTTACATCCAGGCCCTTTTCCACGGCCATGCAAAGGCTGCCGCCGATGAGGTCACAGAAGCACTGATCCGGATGCTGGGATTATACCAGTGCAGCAACCGATCGACGCGCCTTTGCACCGCCGGCGAGGAGCGTCGCCTGTACTATGCCTTCGCCATTCTCACTAGCCCGCAGCTCGTCTGCGTGGACGGTGTTCCCGCGGGTCTGGACCCCATTGGGAAGCGTGTCATCCTCACGGTGACCACTATCATGCAGTCGATGGGCTGCGCCTTCCTCTACACCAGCCTGCCTGTCCTGGACGCGGAGCGACTGTGTGTGCGTCCGACGGTCCTGTTCGATGGCGAACTGTGGACGATCCGTTCCATCGAGAATGAAAACAAAACCTACAAGACCGGCTACCGCCTGGAGGTGCGGTTTAAGCGCAAGGTCAATCCCAATCTCAGCATGTCGCGGTCCACCTGGAACCGGATTAACCACTTCCCCCTGTCGCCCCATAGGAAGTTTAGCGCCTTCATGGAGATCAAGTTCCCGACCGCCGTGCTCAGGTGAGGTCCTATTTTCTCATGAATTTATTAAATTTATTTTCCTTTTCCCTTAGGAGTGAGGATGATACCACAATGGTGTTTTATTTTGATGTGGCGTCGACCACATTCTCCACGATCCTATTGACAATTCGGAGAGATGCATTTGAAATGAACATTGAGGATTACTACATCACCCGCAATATGACCATTACACACTTTGCAAATAGATAAATCAAAATCTATAAACAGGACACATTAAGAGTCTGTGACACCTGTAGGCTTTCAAATCGATTAAAATTAAATAAACTTCACAGACTCGAAATTCGGTTCGAATCAAGTCACTATTTGAGGGGACTACCCTTGAATATTTATAGCTTTCGCAAATGTGACACATTTGTATTAAATTATGTGGCCTGGTTATCTTCCTGCCCCCGTTAATCGACCATAAGAACATCAAATATTATTTGCAGCACAAAGGCGTTTTACAATTTTATTGCCCATGCGCAATTTCAAATATTAATAGCCCGGGAGAGCGAAAGACACCGACCGAACCAGTTAAGGTCGCGCAAACAATGCCGGGAAACGCGTTACACTTCCCGGCTTCAATATTACATGAGCACAAATTGCAATTTAATCCACAGATGTCAGCATTACGATCAGTGTCTCTGGAACAGCCCTTTTGCACGTGCCTCGTGGGGGCAGGGAGTTGAAGTTGAAAAATGGCATTAAAGTCACATTGACAATCATCAAAATGTGATTCGCCTGGAAAACAACAAAGGACGACTGCAACCCACCCCCTGGGCCGAGACACATGTGCCCGCCGCCCATCATCTCCCTGGTGACACTTTAGCGTGTCCTTCGGCCACCCCCTGGATGCTTCATCAAAATGCTCTGCGCAAATCTGTCATATAACTTGGGCAAAAGGACTCTTGGGAGCTTGTTTATGTCAACTTCAGGCCATAATTTATATGAGCCGAGCTCGCATATGTACACATGCGAATATATGTATATATATCCAGTGGGGTTCCTGGGGGCGTGGCCCACTTATTAAGTTTTAATTGCAGACAGACAAACAGATGGATGCGTTGGCAAATGGCAAACTAAATGAACTAAACTAAGTCGCAACTTTATCTACCACTCACTCATTAGACATCCTCCGCGCGCCGCAAGTTGTAGGAGCAGCCAGTAGCTACCCAGATCCTGATCCGTATTTATCTCTGCCCCGGCAGCGTATTTGGAGCGCACTCAGACGCGAAATTGTCACAGCAATCCAAATTCAATTAAACAAACACAATAAGTTTCGATAAAGCCGCGCCGATAACGCAGACAAACTAAATATTCGCATCAAATTTACTAGCGCCCAACCAGCCACGGGGAGGATTCTCCAGAGAGAGAGAGGAGAAAGTCAATGGTGCAGATTAAATGTTGCTCACACACTTATACACTTCCTAGGAAGAGGACTACAACTAGGACGAGGACGAGCACGAGTGCCAGGACTCTGATGTGATGTATGCGTAATCTGGAGCAATTCAGGCGCATAAGAAGGCCCTCGTGAAAAGCGTGACTAAAAAAGCACCGAGCCCTACCCAATGCGACCCACAAAACACAGGGCTCGAAATCGAATTCAAATTCCGGGGAAAAACCCAGTCCAGATTAATGGAAAATGGCGGGGGCGGGGAAAACAACTTAATTGTGTGAGTGTCGCGTTTTGATTCTGCGGAAAACCCACTGAGAGTGACACTGGAGGAAGTTCCGCAGTAAGGTGGCTGTGACAAACTGGATTGAAAAGCAATTGTCTTGGATTTGCGTCAAGGCCTTGGGCCTCGTTAAGGGTAGCTTAGCGCTGGCCGAGGCGGCGTTAATTTATCGCGTCACTGACTTGCAAGGGGGCTCAGTGTCAGGCCTAATTTACACCCCCAAATATATACATTTCAGATCGTTGTTGTGATGGGGACAGTTTAAAGTAATTCTTATTAACGCTAACCAGGATTAGCCGAAAGACGGCGTTAAATTTGGGTTGACTTTGGATAAGGAAATATTTTGAAAAAATGTTTATCCATATAGGTTAGGTTAATTTCCAATAAAAAAATAATTTATATATAGAATATAATAAAATCAAACCTTTTAAGATATTTAAGGACTATTTGTTTTGAGCTCAACACCTTACATATTAGAATAAATTATTCTAAAATCGATTTCATTGTTATTTTGCAAAAGGGAACTGTATTACATACTTGAGTGTTGCTGCCATCAACCCCCTCTCTCTGTCTTCATCGTCAAAAGTTTTCGTGGCGAAATTTTGTGCAACTAAAATTAGCATTTAATTTTATGCAAATTAAACAAGCTCCCTGTTTCTTGCCCTGCCACTCTCCCACTCGGTTCTCGGCTGTTTGAATTTGCTCACATGTCTGCAGCTGAATAATTTAGGGACTTACATTTACAGAAATTAACGCACACCGACAGACCAGCGAGTCCTTGTGCACTGACACAGACGTGTGTGTGGGTGTGACGTGCAAATAGGATTTGTGCGACTAATTGCAAAGTACTTAACCAAAGCTTTAAACAAATGCAAGAGCAAAAATTGTTAATCAATTATTTAAGCAATTTAAAAAGGAAGGCAGCCCAAAAAGAGTTAAGTACTTCCGCATGCAAAGGAGAGAGGGAGAGGCCTCCAAATAGATACAAAGGACTCTGGCAGGACACGTTCCCAGACTGAAGTCCGTGCCCTTGTTTACTTTTGTGCACCGCTGTCAGCGACAGTCGCAGTCAATCCGCATCCGCATCCGGATCCGGCCAAAATGACCGGCCATGCATGGATTTCTGTTTCAATTATACGCATCTTGGCCCACACACACTCACTCTGTGAGGCGATTATAATATCAATGGACGGGAGGTGTGCGCGCGTGAATTTATTCATTTGCTTGTCACTGTTTTGACAACCCCTCACGGCGCCCGACTTCACAGGAACAGGAAGATATAGCTGGCATTCGGCAGTCGGCAGCCGGCATTGTATCACCCAAATCGGATTAAGAAATTTCGTATTCGCATCCGTTTGCCACATAATTGAATCACTGCGTGTGTGTGTGTCTGACTGAGTGCCTGAGCCCCTGATGGCAAATGAGAAGCAAATTTAAAATTTTACACTTGACTTAGCATTGTTGTCCTGTCATTTCACACGGTGGTGGTGTCCTCGCCTCCCCACGCCCCACCCCTCATGGTAAAATAAGTATCCTTCTCGGGTGGTTTTTAAAATGTTTATTTTTCACTTGACATTTATGCAATTTTTGTTTGCTCCTTTTGATTTTGCTTGCCACTTAAACGCTACAAGTAATTGTATAATTTAATTCTAGATATGGCATTCGAGGTTCTAAGCACTAGCATAGCATATATATGTATTTTACAAGAACTATATACAGCACGTAATCGAGGGAAATAACGTAAGAGTTAACACGCACACACACACTTAAAGCAGTTTGGCATTTACAGTTTATCCTTGGGAGCCAGCAGGTTGCCGCCCTCAGGCTTCCCTCTCTTCTCGAACAGTTGCAACAATCGCTGTTGCATCTTGCAATTTTATGAGTGCGAATGGCTGAGATGATGGGCGCCCAGGGGATGGAAGTAGGGTCCGTATGGCGGATATGGCACAGCGTGGGGATAGAGCAGGCTGCTGGCGTAGGCGCCCGGTCCGAAGGAGCCACCAGCGGGCGGTGGAATGGTGGGGCTGTTAACGTCCATGCCGGGGTTCTGCTTCTTCCACTTGGTTCGCCGATTTTGAAACCAAATTTTCACCTAAAGAGAAAATATGAAATATATATAAATATATAGAGAGATATTTTTCAAAACATATTCTTATATTTTCCTTGATTTTTACTTTTTATATTTTCTAAAAAAAAACTTTTTCTCACCTGCGTTTCCGTTAGGCTCAAGCTTAGGGCCAAGTTCAGCCTCTCACAGACGCTCAAATACCGGGTGGTCTTGAATTTGTTCTCCAGCGAAACCAACTGTTCGTAGGTGAAGGCAGTCCGGGCTCTCCTTGGCTTGGAGCCACCTCCACCACCGCTCCCGCTACCGCCGGATTTTCCATCTCCATTTCGGCTGCCACCCTTTTTCGAGTCCGTCTCACTGCTGGGATCGTCAATATCGCTGCCGTCATCGCACATATCATCCTGATCCATGTCGTTCAGATCCTGGGCTGCAGGGCATAAAAAAGAAGAGGAGGTGCAGGGGTCAATTCAATGTATCTATTTCCTTTTGCATAAGTCAACAGGATCAGGGGTCGGGGTCGGGGTCGGGTCATCCATCACAGACCAAGGACCGTGTCCAGCGGAATTGGCAAAGGGAAATCAATCACCTCGACTACCGCATCATTGTTGGATTAATTGGAATTTTTCGGCACATGTTGACGCACATGCGAATACTGACCCAGGGATGGGTGCTGTGTCTGGCCACGATTCGATTGCCATGATTCGACAATCAAAATTCAATTAAGGCTGGCCGCCAACTGGCCAAGCGAGGGTGTGTCCTTCAGCTGGGTATCAGTTACCAGTTATCATCAATTAGGGTGAGCCCCATTATATAGATTTTAGCATTTGTTTTCAAGGATTGAGGATATAAATCAGGAAAACCAAAATCATATAAAATAATTCAAGATGTTCTTGAAAGACCTCTACAACATTGAACCAAATAACAACACTTCTTAGTGGAAAAAGTGTTAACAAACTACAGCTTTTCACCATTTTCACTTTAGATTCTTTAAAATAAAATCACAACACAGCCAAGAAGTTATAGAAATCCCCTTTAAATACTCCATCTATATATAAAAACTTGGCTTGTTAACCAATTTTCGTGCCAGCGAAAAGCGATTTTGCGGTGGACCCCTTTCAATGCGACGGAATCAATTCAGCCAGGCGAAAAAGGGTCGGTTAAGTGTCAACCCTCCGTCAAGGATGCTGTTGCGCTGGTCCCCGTAATTGGCCAACATGATTGGCCGTGTTTGCATGAAATTAGAAGGGAAACTTTGGGGCGAACAGGATGGGGAGTGGGCAGGTTGATGCGCCTAAAAGTGCACCGCAGACTGGACGGCAATTAAACCGAAAATTAACGTGAACGCTTCATTTAATATTTAACGAATTTCGCGATGGCCGCAAAGTGGTAATGGGCTGTGGAGTGTTTGCAGCCACTTTGATATGCATTAATGGCACATTAGAGACCGCCGCATCAATATATCCAACCGATTCGAGTCGACGACTGGCCCTGACCACAATTGGTTTGAGTCAATTGAATTAACAGCCCTTTTCCCCAGAAACACATACTTCAAAGGCAGACAGCCGCTTAATGCGATGTCAAACAAATGCAGCAGGAAAAATCAAAAGGATCGAGTTCTGGCCGGGTTAATAAGCGTTGCAACCGCATTTGCCAGTGGATGGGAGGGAACGAGGGATTGGTGCCTAATTACGGTGGTCATTCAAATGAACTGCAACATGGCAGCATGCAACATGCAGCAGGGCAACATGAAAAGCGGCCTTCCGTTGGCCCCAGTTCAATATCTGTTCGCCGACTGAGTGAATCGTTTAATTATACTGAACGGATCCCGCTTATTTACTTACTTACTTAGAGCATGCATTGGGAAGGGAGGAATATGTATATCCTTGCTAACATTTGTATACCTCAAAATGGAAAAGAATCTCTAATTGTTTCCCTTAAATTTAAATATCTTTCAGCACCTTTGGAAACCACAAATGTTATACAACCAAAATTTGTTACTTCTAAGAAGGCCAATAAATATATAAACAACGTTAAATATATTCACAAAGGTAAATAAATGGATTAAATATAAGCTGGCTTTTTATAATTTAAAACCCACAAGTTACCCATGGCTCAGTAATTTCTCAATGCTTCTTATTTAGTTTTTAGAAGACTAAAAGATTCTCATTTTGTTAACTATTTCAGCATGACTTCCCAATTACTGGCTTAATATCTCTATTATAATGTTATTTCCTGTACTCCTTGTTCAACATACTCACTATTGAATACCTCTTTAAGATCTCCAACATCGTTTCAACCTGATCACCACCATTAAAAGCCAAAAAATAATTGCCCCATTCGTATCTGTCTGGCGTTTCCCATTAACAAAATGGGGCCTGTTAATTATAATTATGGCGAAAGCACTTCATAAGCAATTTTGATGATACGGCGACAGCAGCCAGGAGCAAGGAGTCTCGAAAAGAGTGAGCTTACATGCACGAGTGCAGTTTTGGGGAAAGGCAAGCCGATGGTGGCTGGAATTACAACATACAATTTAAACTTAATTATGAAATCCGAGCGTTAATTACCACAAACTGGCGCAGAAATTACCATACCATACATATACCCACACAGACAGTGGCCCGAAATAGCTTATAAATTTGAAGTTCTTTGTGCCCGGGGCAATCATTGTAATCGCATCCGCCTGGCCAATGCGACCCCGGGGAGCGTTTGTCGTCTCATTTTGCCATTTTCATAAAATAATAAATGAGTTGCTGATGGACGGATATACTCGTAAAAACGAGCCGAGCGTCGAGCTCTCGAAACTGTCGCTTAACTTGACTTTACAGCGGCAGCAAGGAGGCGAAATGGAGAAGGCTTTTCTCCTCCTCACACACACACACACCCAGAGAGAGACTCGGGCACAGGACTCCCCCGAGTCCTTGTACCACCCATACACACGCACTTGAGCAAAAGAGAGAGACGACAAGCGCGCCAAATTGAGTGCTGAAAAAGAATAAAAGTTTTTCGCAGCCATTTTACATTTTCGTTCGTTCGTTTCGGGGGTTGCTTCTCTGTTCCACTGCTCCTGCCCCATCCTCCCACATTTAAATGCTGGCCCAGGCACCCCTCTCGGATTTCCCACCTCCCAGCACTCGGTTATCGCATGTTTTTTCATATGACTTTTGGGGCGCATTTCAGTTGCTTTCCTGGCTATCTGGATTATGCACACAATATGTGGCTTTATTGTTGCAAATGTGTGTGTGTGTGTGTGTCGTGGATGTTAGTTTTATGCTTTGCAATTTAAATGAAATGCAAATTGCTGCGCCTAAAACGCAACGAATGGCGCCTTGGAGAGTTGCAGGCAGCCAACATGGCGTATGCGTAATATTTATGAATTATTAACCAGCTTCAGAGGGCAGAGAGTTAAGCCAAGGCAAGGCGGTTTTGCAGCCATAAAATCTAATTAGTCGCAATGACAAAGGGCCGCATAATTACGCTAATCTAAGCCGAAGCGACCGGAGAGGCAGCAGTGGCATTAACACCTCCACCCAATGGCTCATAAAAGCAGGGGATCTCTGTCTCTCCTGCAGAGGCAGTCTGTCTGTGTGTGACAGCGCCATTGAAGCGCCTAATGAATGTGCGGTAATTAAGTACCTTGCTAATTAATGACTACAGCAACACCAACCAACAGTCGTTGAATGCCCGCCCGCAAACAGTGCGTATGCGTGATGCACACACACACTCACTCGGCTACGTTTGTCTGGCAGTCTGTCTGTGTGTGACAGCGCCATTGAAGCGCCTAATGAATGTGCGGTAATTAAGTACCTTGCTAATTAATGACTACAGCAACACCAACCAACAGTCGTTGAATGCCCGCCCGCAAACAGTGCGTATGCGTGATGCACACACACACTCACTCGGCTACGTTTGTCTGACTGTCTGGCTGGCATATCAGCCTAGGGGTTGCTGTAAACTGCCGGCAACATAATTATTTCCAACATCATTACCCTGGCCAAGTTTCCGCGTCTGCCTGTCTGTGCTCTGTGTGTGTGTTTGTATGTGTGTTTGCAACCACTCTACTCCACTCTCTGGCAGCTTTCAGCCCCCTTCATGGGGTCGTTGGCGCGGCCATTGAGTCGGTTTTATTAGCAGTTATGTCCGGAGCCACCGCCCCGCCATTGATGAAGTTAATTGTGTTTTATTAACACAAACACAAATGCACAAACAGCAAAGCCGACAACCGACAACACGCAGCAATGGCCGATAATGTGTCGTTGATAATGATGAGGATGTATGTGGTTGTAGTTACCAGTAGAGACCTATAGGAAAACGCCATTTTCCGTGTTTATAATTTTGTACTTAAGCGCTTAACGAATTGCTCAATAAAAGTCGTGTGAAGGGTTTAATTAATGGGCAAGAAATCTTTATCCTTCTTGTTGGATAATCAAAATAACGATGTTAGTCAAAAGGAAACTAGCAGAAGGATTATATTTAGCTACTTGAAATATTTGAGGTAATTTTGAAAACTTTTGTAAGAGCACAAAGAGTGGAAACATATGTTGTAAGACAGCTTATGGCCAAGTCTGCCCCTTTTTTATACCAAATTAAATGAATTTCCAGAGAATAAATATGTTTTTAATATGGATTATAATTATTAGTATTTGAACCATTGATTTAATAACAAAAATCCAATAGACTAAACTGCAATAGATATAAATTTACTATTCTAGTACCTGAGTAACTCCCTTTACTGAATTTGGCCACCATTCCATAACCTAAACCCATTTACCAATTAAGTCAACTCGCTTCATAATCAGATCACAGGGGCAACGTTCAAACAAACTGCTCTGGACTTGGACTTAAGCTCAATCAGACCCAGTCCCATTCCCATTCCCAGCTCCTGCTCCAAGCCCCCAATGAGAACGTTCTTATTTCTCTGTTTTTTGGCGCTTTGGCAGCGGCTTAGCGATGGTATCGCCACGAACCCCGCCCACAACAACTTCAATCAAATTTGCAAATTTTTATTTGAGCAATTTCTTTGCAACCAGCCAAGCATGAAAATCAATTAATTTCCAGCAAAATTTTAGCCAGCCAACGAAAAGGAAAAAGGCTGCAAAGGCACCCAAAAAAAAAAGACTGAAATCATTGGAAAACCGAAACCTGATCCGCAGCAAGACAAACAGTTTGGGAGAGCAAAAAATAAAGAGAGTTAAAAAAAAAAGGAAAACGTAGCTTTCCAGCTGGCAAAGGCTTTTCCCCAATTAAAACATCAATCAATCAATTAAAAGCAATTCTATTGAAAATCCTTATTGGATATGAGTCCAGCACATTTTTGGTCTAAACAAGTTTGCGTACGGAAAACGAGGAGTGCCTCGGTCGGAGATCCTCTTTTTTTTTGGGGTTTGCTTTGGTATTTGCGCATTTGTTTGCCGTTGAACATTCGCAAAATATAAATGCTTTTATGGCCAACATAAACACACCACTCCACACACACACACACACACCCACACACAGCCGGCCGTACGTGACTTGCGCCTGAAAGCAGGCAACACAGAAATCGCAGTGCCTTAAAAATGGCAGAAATTTCTGCCTGAGTGGGGGGGGAGGAGTTTTCGGAAAAGCAAATTCAAAATCAAAACATACCTAAAAACGATACAAGCAGCAGTATAAATATAACATGCGCCGTCAACCACCCACAGGCACTCTGGCGAAGGGAAAAAACACAGCCGGAGCAGAAGGACCACGATGATGATGATGGGGAGGAACACACACTGTTTGCAGGTGTTCTCCCTTTTCCTCCCCCCTTTAGTGTGTGTGTGTGTGTGTGCTGAGACACTTAGGGGAACGTGTTTAGTGGGCGTGCCAGGAATTTCCATCGATTTCAATCAAATCAAAATCAGACAGCTAACCATCATTGTGATTTGCGATTCATCGAGTGTGAAGTCAGTCAGTCCCAGGGGGCTCAAAAAATGTTTCATTTCCAGCTACTCACCAGACATATCCTCGCTCTGATCGTCATCCAATCGCTCCTGCATTTCCTCATCCCTATCATAGCTCCACTGCCGGGGATGACCAAAGGGACCAGCTGGCAGCTTGTTGCCCGTGAACTTGTTTGGATCCAGGATGTTCTCCACCGAGAAAGCCAATCGCTTGGTGGCAGCATCTCGATCACTGGATGCACTTGTCGAGGCGGAGTTGGGGTTTACGGTGGCGCCACTATTCACCGATCGCGTCAGATCAACTGGGCAGACCTGGAAAGTAAGGGGGTTTATGTTTTTTTATATATAAGGTATTTAAGATCATGTTGTATTAGTTAGATAGGGAGTTTAAAATTATAAGAAATATGCCTTAGGTAATTAAAAACATTTTATAAAGTGTCGTTTTGTTAATAAGAAAATAGCTTTTTAAATTTGTAATCTAACATAGTACGAGGAAATCTCACTATTAACGCATTATAAAGTAGAAAACTTAATGGTTATGATAGCTTAAATGACGTTTTGTAAAGTCCCATATATAATATGCTTTCAAATAAAGTTACTAACAACATTAAAATGGTTTTAAAAATTAAGTAAATTTTGTAATATGGTTCCTTTATCAAAAACATCCTATTGATTCATCATTTTCTTAATAATTTTATTATTTGAAACCCCATAACATTTGTATTTAATGTAAACAAAATTATTTAAAAATATAAAATCTTTATAATATTATCAATAATGTTCTATGCATGGCTATAAGAAAAAATACTATTTAAAAAACAGGTCGAATATTACCTTTTACTATTCAATTATTTGCTAAAATGTCTTTTCTGAGTGAATAATAGATTTTAGAAAAATAATAGCAATGCTTAGTAGCTTATTTCTGCATATATTTTTTAAAAATTTCCAAGGTAAAGGTAATAACTAATTGATAAAAAAGTCTATTATATTACAAAAAGAAAATTAAATGATATACAAAAATTATAATCACTCCCTTAATGAAATATATAAAACTTTCCAATATTTATCTAAAAACCCTGCTACTCTTCCCCTTCCTCCCATAACACTTCATAAGAAACCCCTTAGACTTACCGACGGCGCACTGTGGGATCCATCGTTGCTTTCCTCATCATTTCCATCGACATTCAGCTCCTCGCTGGTGTCACTCCGCGCATAATTAGCAGCCGCGATTTGCCGCGAAGTGGCCGCTGCTGCAGCCGCCGCGGCCGCCAGACCGCCAAGCTGTATTCGGAAGCCATAGTCACTGAGATCCCGGCCACTGGGTGAGCCGGAGCTCGAGTTGGAGATGGAGGTGCTGGCATTGGACACGGAAGCGGAGGCGGAGGCGGAAACGGAGGCAGTGGCTGAGGCAGAGGCGGCGGCGGAAGTGCTGGGAGCTTGAGCCTGGCCTTGGCCTTGCCCTTGATTGGTGCGAGCCGCCACCGCAGCCACCAGCTTGAGCCGCTCCAAATCCATATCAGATGGCGCTGCCTGGGAGGTATGTGCCGGATTCTGGGGAGGCGGTGCGATGGGGGAGCTCATCTGCTGGTCGGAATGCATGGCCGGTGAGGTGGGCGGCGACAGAGGCGAGGTGGCTGGCGAGGGCGGGGCGGTGGTGCTGCTGGTGGTGCTGCTACTGGGCGCCCTAAGGTGGAATACCGCCGCAGCGGGATGTGGGTGAGGATGAGGATGCGCCTGCTGGTGGTGCGGATGATGGGGCGGCAACTGATGATGCTGATGCTGCTGCTGATGCTGGTGATGATGGTGGTGCATGTGCTGCTGCGCGGCGGCCAGGAACTGTGGATTCTGGAGCAGGTGCGGATGCTGCTGCAGCAGGGCTGCATGTGGATGCTGCAGTGGTTCCGGCCGTGCCAAGTGCCGCACGGCACTGAGTTCCAGGAGCTTGCGCTGCTGGGCAGGTGAGGTGAAGTTGCCAGAGCTGCCTCCGGATGCAGGAGGAGACTGCGAACGTCGGGGATTACTCGGATTCGGATTCGTGTTGTGGTTGGTTAAACTGATATTGTTGTTGTGATTGGGCCTATCCTTGTCGGGGGAATCCTCCTGCGAGGGACTTAGGCGGCTGAGCAGGCTGCCCGACTCGCTGCTCATCTGCTTGAGGCGCTCCAGGGAATACCTCAGCTCCTGCTCCTGCTTTCCCGCCACCGCAGCTCCACTGGCACTGATGATGAACTTGGGTATCTTGGCGGCCGGCGGTGTCACCGAGCCCTCGACACTGGCCACCTCCGGTGAGGTGTTGGACTTGGGCGAGTCAGGATTCGAGTTGGGACTCATCAACACGCCGACGGCGGCGGGGGGCTGGGCCGATGCACTGTCGCTGGCCTTTTGCGCCGGCGATTGCAGCATGACCATGTTGGGGCCTTTGATCGATATAGTTATTGCTTTCACAGACAGAAATTGGGTTTCACTGGGAGATCACTGCGCGATGCGTGTTCGTGTCCTGTCACCTGGATGGCAGCCAATCGACTGTCCACTGCTGCCGGCCTGAGTCTGCCAATATCCGATGAAGCCAAAGCTGATGCTGCTGCTGCTGACGCTGCTGCCTTCGATTATCCTGAGCGTAATCCGCGCCCGACGACTCACACGCTCAAGAGCCAGAAGCGTAATGAGGGTTGGTCTGAGTTCTGAGTTGTTAATCCAACAGATGTGTGCCTGTGGCAAGTCAACTGCTAAATGGGAGGCAGACAAATCTGCTGCCGATGCTGTGCTGTGCTGTGCTGTGTGGTGGCGGCAGTGGTGGTGGTTTCCGCTTTGAGTGACACTCGCATGCTCGCATGCTCTCTCTTTGGTCCACGCTCCACGCCCCTTGTTGAGTGGTTCTTTGAGTGGGTTGGCTCCTCCCCGCCAGGGCTCTAATCTCTACTAGCATCTAATGATTTAATTTGCCTTCCACTCGTTAGCAAATGTAATGGTCTGTTGCAAGTCTAAGCCACAGCAGGAGACCAGAGACCAGGGACAGGAGAGAGAGAGAGAGAGAGCAGGAGAGGCAGGTCCTGAGTCCTGTTTTACATAGTTCTTCGCTCAACTGTAATAGCCACCCGACAACGACGGGCAACAAAGGCTGCGAAACGAGGCAGCTTCTCCCCGTCGAGGATGTGAGTAATTGTCAAATTATTTAGCGCAAAATTTGTTTGTTTATGCGGTCGGTTGCCTGCGAAATGGATCTCAACTTTTGCCACATTCCTTTCTTTCTTTTATTTATTTTTTCTGTGCATTATTTTCTTTTTGTTTATTATATCTGCCTCGGTTGTGTGTTGCCTGCTCTCTGCCTGGTTTGGTCTTAGTCATGTATGCATGAATGCCTTGTGCTTTCTGCGGCTTAATTAGATTTTATAATATTTTTTTGGCTAAAAATAATGTTGCTAATTAGTTTGTACATATATTTGTTTGGTTTTTTATTTTATTTTTTGTGTGGAAAACCATCTTTGTTAACACTTCCTATGTAAAACTCAAACGATTTCCGCACTCTTCTAACCTTTCGCTCTCTCGCTCAGTCCCTCTATAGGTGACTTTCTCTCGTTCTCGTTCTCTTTCTCTTGCGCTTACTCTCTCTCTCTCTCTCTCTGGGGGAGATTCTTTTAAATTGAACAAAAATTTATATGCGCTTTGGCACAGACGATTTAATATCGCATCCAATTTGCGGTTTATACGCATCGCAGCAGTGGCCTTCAATGGGAGTAGGGTGGTGGGTGGGGTTTGGGTTTGGTTTGGGTTGGGCTTCGAGTGGCAAAATGGGGAGGCAAACACTCTCCCTTCAGCCTGTGGGTCCGAGGGACAATGGGGCGTATAAGTGACATCGTTAAGTGGACGCCGGATGCTGCTTAATGAACTCCAACGAGGCAGAGATGGGTGTTAGCTGAATCCGTAGGGAATCTCCTGCTTCTCCATCTATGTATACATATATCTCCCGGCCTTGTTGCTCCGCCCTACGCCCCAATAGCTACTCGTTTGCACTGAGGAGCACACAGACGCGCTCTCCATTCTATAATTAACCGCAGGAAAGGCAGGCAAGGGAAAGGAAAAGAACTTGGCTGCTTAATGAGCAGCTTGTTATGCCGTTTTTCGTTTTAATTAGTTTTAAGATGCTCGCCACCAACACCAGTGCGTCGGCCACTCATTGTAATTGGCCCATTGATGGAGGGGATTTGCCCGTCTTAATGTACTTGCTGCTTACAGTCAAACTTCGATTAATCAAACTTGAGTCATGGGTAGAAGTTTAAATTTCAAACAAGAAAATATTAACATACTAAACTTAAGAATTTAAATGAAAGTTTTTAGTTTTATTTACCTTTTTTTAATATATATATTTTATATTCTAACGATCGAAGTATGTTTAAGTTTTCTGGTTTGAAAAGTATATTGAGTAAAGATTCAACATGATTAATTCCAGTCCTGAGTGTGTCCCTAATCTTATTGTGCTTTAATAATAATAGTTTCTAGATAAAAAATAATGTTTAAAATAAAATGAGAACAAGTGTAAGTTAAACACCATTTATTTATTTAAAAATGTATAGATTTAGTAGGAGACGTCTTCGAGCAACACATAAAAATATATATGCAATCAAAACAACAAGTCAGTTAGTGTCTTTTACGATTCCTTTAAAATATTTTTTATAATTTAACATATAAATTAATAACATTAAATCATTTTAGCTAACTTAAAACGTACAAAAATACAGTAAATAATTTTTTATATATTGCTAAATAAATAATTGTTATTTAAAGAGAAAATTATAATTTTAAAGAATTATTGTCTTACATTTTTCAATATCTTAAAGCACTGTATTCTATATTTTATATTTATCAATATAAAAATATTAAAATTAAATTTGTTAAATTTAAAATTTAGATTAAATAATGCCAAATTTTTGTTATTTAAAAACAATTTTACTTGTAAAGAGTCAATTTCTAAATTTCTGTTCAAGGTAAAGGCAGCTCCGACTGTAACTAAAATTCATCCCACCCAGTTTCTTGCCCCTATATCTTTACCTCCTGGTACGTTATCCTTGAGAATGCCAACCATTTCTCGCTGTGTAGTAAGTACTTAACTCTTTTACATGCAAAATTAAATGATGCGCATACGCACGGTAAAACCGCAAATTATTTTAATTGCTTGTCTCGTCATTATTCATTATTTAAGTGCGCTCAAACAGCCGACGTATACGGAATACGTTAGTATGTACATACGGCTTTCCGCCAAAGTGTGTGTGTGTGTGTGTGTGTGAGTGGGCCAGGCTAATTGGCAGCTCGCCAGACACACACACACAGACACTCGAAGGCACACAAAAGCCGCTGTTTACATAGACATCAAACTTTTTGCGCTGCGGAAAAGCGGAAAATTGCTCTGGCTGCCCTGCACATGTGTGTGTACTGTGCTGTGCTGTGCTCTCTCTTTCTCTGTTCCTCTCTCCCGTATAGTTGTCTCCCTCTGGCTGATGTACTTACTCTTCCATTTAATTAGTGAAAATAAGTATTAAATGAGCAGCTCTTGTTAAAATAAATAGTGCATGCAATGGCGGCAGCAGTTTCCCGCCCGCCTTTCCCCTTGGCTTTCAACAGGCTGCGCAAGATTTACAACTAATTAAAAGGCAAATAAAATTGGCACGGCTTTGGCAGTGGGTGTGGGTGGTGGTGGGGGGAAATCGATAATCGGATCGGAAAAGCGGAGCCGCTGACCTCGCGACAAATGCAATTAAAATCACAAGTGCGCGGTCATCTGTATAATTATGCGATAATTAAATTATTGCCAATTTATTTATAACATTCCCGTTAATTTGCCCCCTAAACCGTATCCCTTGTATTTGTATATTTAATGAATTGCGAGGGAGATGGCCTCCATTTCCATTTCCATATCCCGCGTCGTCCTCGCCGTCCTTGCCATCCTCGCCGCCCCCGCTCGCTCTGTTTATTCGGCCATTTTGTTGTTTGCACTCCACTTGCCGTAAGCCCCACGTTAATTTGTTTGACTAATTAAACTAATGAGCGTTCAAAGTTAATACATAAATTAGTCAGCCAGGCAGGCAGGCAGGAAGCTAGGCGGGGTAAGCTCCCGACCTGGGCGAAAGGGGCAACAATTGTTGGATCGCCTAAGCTTGTCTAATTTGGCCGTTAAATAATTGTTTCATTTAATAAATCATCGGATTGGATTTCACTTGTTTGCTAATAAATGTTAAGCCACTGAAATGAGAGTGGAATTTATGTGATTTTTAATTGACACGAGATTTACAAGTGTTGCAGCTTTAAACAGAGCTTAGTTATGATTAACATTTAAGATTTAAAATAATTTCCTTTCACATTAAAAATTGCTAAATCATTTGTCTTAATTTAATTTTTAGAATTTACAAATCAGATAGCATCATCTATTAAAGTATCTATAAAAGAGATTTTAAAAACAAAAGGAACTTTTTCTTAACAGCACACAACGATATTTATAATTTAAAGTCTTGGATTCAATAAATTTAAAGTTACATTCAAAACCAAACTCAGGTCTTTGAAAACTTATCTAAGCAATATGGAATTACTTACAATTTAAGACATTTGTAGGTAACTTTATGTTCAACAAACAGAATTCGATAAAAATCATTAAAAGCTAATTAAACTTTAATTTAAATTTAAATATTATACTTTTTTTGTGCTTCTTTCATACATCTTAATCTTTTTCGTTAAAATTTGAACTTAAAAACTAAAAGAAAATATAATTGGAATATAGAAAATTCTTGGGCTTTACGTTTACAAGGGGTGACAATGAATTAAAACTTGAAACGTGCATCAACTGTTTAAATCAGTGTTGGCAAAAAGATAATAGCTAAATAATCATCCTTTATAAGCTCGAATCATATTTTTTCATTTCAATCCTGCTGCGGTTTACTCCTAATTCTTAATTAATAACAAATTTATTTTGCTATTCGTCTTTATAAACTTTAAATTTTTGTTCTGACAACCATATTATAGTTTGTGGTAAGTTAAATTGTTAAATAGATTATTTTACCTCAACAGAATAGAGGCAAAGTGTATGTAAATTATATTTAAGCTGTAAAGCTTTAACTTTCTATATCTAAAAAGTATATAAATAAATTATAAATTAGCTCCAACTACTTAGTTTATATTTAGATAAGCATTTATTTCTTTTAGTTCTCCTTACTATCATTTCTTTATTTCATTTTTATCTAAGTAATTTGCTATTTCGTCTACCATTTAAGTCAAATAATTTAAAAATACATTAATTTAATCAAGTTACTTGAAGTTATTGAACGAAAACCGTTAAACAAAATGTCAATTTCCTTTTTGCCATCAGCTAATCGAATGTGTGCCTAATCTGCATTAAAAATGTGCACCTAAAAGCCCATTAGCCCATCT